TTCGGTTTTACAATGGAAAAGTCCCACGTTTTTTCCTTCAATTCCAGTCCGGCTCACGTACACTTTCAGTTTCACTTCAGTTTCACTTTAAATTTCAAAAAAGTTAAACTAAAATTACCACTGTTTCAGGAAAAGGGGGTTTGGTCGCGGGGCAGAGAACCACATAGGTTTCACAATTGGGAAACTATCATACTACGTGCGGGATATAGACGGCGCATACGACGCATATCAAAGTCTTCTAACCTACAATAATGATTGTGTGCATGTAATGCACTCTCAGATACTCTTCCAGAAGGTGCACAGTCTAGCATTACCAATACACGACACAGTCTAGCATTACCAATACACAACACAGTCTAGCATTACCAATACACAACACAGTCTAGCATTACCAATACACAACACAGTCTAGCATTACCAATACACAACACAGTCTAGCATTACCAATACACAACACAGTCTAGCATTACCAATACACAACACAGTCTAGCATTACCAATACACAACACAGTCTAGCATTACCAATACACAACACAGTCTAGCATTACCAATACACAACACAGTCTAGCATTACCAATACACAACACAGTCTAGCATTACCAATACACAACACAGTCTAGCATTACCAATACACAACACAGTCTAGCATTACCAATACACAACACAGTCTAGCATTACCAATACACAACACAGTCTAGCATTACCAATACACAACAAAGTCTAGCATTACCAATACACAACACAGTCTAGCATTACCAATACACAATATATTCGTGTCATTCGAGCACATTGTGTTCATTGTTATTAACTATCTTATGCCTTCAACCAATTGCTGTGATATGAAGATATAATTGTCTGCCAGAAAATTCGGCTGTCAAAATTATCACTAAATAGTAGTCAGAGAAAATAAAACAATTAAATAAAGCACTGATTTCAGGGTATACAGGACTTCGTATCAGTGGTTCAGATCTACCTGCAGTCCCAGCCCCCCAGCACCACTGTGGAACTACCTATAACCATAGTGGATCATAACATCCACTTGTCCTTGTTCGGGGAGAAGATGTCGGGGATGGTGAAGGAGACCCTGGTATGTTAGATATGTTTCACTTTCACTTTCACTTTTAGTTGCTAACTAAGTTGTTGAGATGGTGAAGGAGACCCCTGGTATGTTCGATATGTTTCACTTTCACTTTCATTTTAGTTGCTAACTAAGTTGTCGGGATGGTGAAGGAGACCCCTGGTATGTTCGATATGTTTCACTTTCACTTTCACTTTGAGTTGTTAACTAAGTTGTCGGGATGGTGAAGGAGGCCCCTGGTATGGTCGATATGTTTCACTTTCACTTTTAGTTGCCAACTAAGTTGTTGAGATGGTGAAGGAGACCCCTGGTATGTTAGATATGATTCACTCTCACTTTCACTTTGAGTTGTTAACTAAGTTGTCGGGATGGTGAAGGAGACCCTGGTATGTTCGATATGTTTCACTTTCACTTTCATTTTTAGTTGCTAACTAAGTTGTCGGGATGGTGAAGGAGACCCCTGGTATGTTTGATATGTTTAAAGTTTGCTAACTCGATTGCTGGTGAACGTGTGATATTTTAAAACATAGTTTAACATGGTTATAAATAGTTTTTAATAAAAAACTTGCCATGTTGGTACGGATTCCATCTAAAGATATCCTTCACTTTATCTTGTGTTTAAACATGCCGGGATACCACCAAATAGTCCGTGAATTATAATATGGAAGCCATAACTAATATCACACAATAGATTATGTGTATTTGCAATCTAGTAAGGCAATCACATCTTGAAAACTAAAATATGGCTGATAAATAATAACGTACTCCAGATTTTGACAAAGCTAAGAGACAGGGAGATTTTAGAGCTTTGAAGACTTTTTTGCCCCCGGCCTCATGAGTGAGGGGCGGATATGTTTCACTTTCACTTTCAGATTTTGACAAAGCTAAGAGACAGGGAGAGTTAGAGCTTGAAGACGTTGCTCACGGTCTCATGAGTGAGGGGCGGATATGTTTCACTTTCACTTTCAGATTTTGACAAAGCTAAGAGACAGGGAGAGTTAGAGCTTGAAGACGTTGCTCACGGTCTCATGAGTGAGGGGCGGATATGTTTCACTTTCACTTTCACTTTCAGATTTTGACAAAGCTAAGAGACAGGGAGAGTTAGAGCTTGAAGACGTTGCTCACGGTCTCATGAGTGAGGGGCGGGTTTCCTTTTTTAAACCTAGCCAGACAGTATTTAGTGGGGATACCCTCAACACCTTCAGACCTATTTGTGCTATTAACGGTAATTAGTAATACTACTCCGTATTATTTATATTATTATTAGTAATACTACTGCGTATTATTTATATTATTATTAGTTTTTAAATTAAGGTAATACTACTGCGTATTATTTATATTATTACTAGTTTTAAGTTAAGGCTTACAATTAATATTCTAAATAGAGATAAGTAATGTTGCCCTTGCAGAGACGGTGACAGTGCTGATTCCAGTGAAGAACCCTCTCCAAGTACCCCTCACCTTATCTAACATATCTTTACTCTGTCTGCACTCCCCAAGGGACCCCAATCATCCTATCAAACTAAGTTAGTTCTATCTTATTAATTAATTAACTAACTAATTAATTTATCAACTAATAATTAATTAACTAATAATTAATTAACTAATAATTAGTGAACTTATTAATTAACTTCTTAACCAACTAATTATAATCAACTAATTAATTAATTAGTTGACTGATTAATTGACTAATTAAGTAACTAATTAACTGAATCCCCAGTTAAAGCACCTTCAAGAGGCTCCTCACCTGACATGTCCTACAAAAGCAAACTAAAGACTGCTTCTAAAGATCAGGTTATTACATGATTGTGTTATATACTTATGTATTATATTCATTAACATTGTGTTATATACATATTATATACATTTTACATTGTATTATATACATATTAATTATTATATACATTATACATTGTGTTATATGCTCATTATATACATTATACAGTGTGTTATATACATATTAATTATTATATACAGTATACATTGTGTTATATACATATTAATTATTATATACATTTTACATTGTATTATATACATATTAATTATTATATACATTATACATTGTGTTATATGCTCATTATATACATTATACAGTGTGTTATATACATATTAATTATTATATACAGTATACATTGTGTTATATACATATATTATATACACCCTAAAATACATACGTTTCGAATTGTAAGCGAAAAACTGATGTTTGTCTCTGCGATTGAGCGAAAATACAGCTGGCCATTTAAATTCATGGGCTGCTTCATTCACGGAGATACCATTTTCATCACTGATAGTATATTCAGTTATCAACTGATCAACATCACTGATAGTATATTCAGTTATCAACATCACTGATACAAGGTCTGATATTATCATATTCGACCTGTATTTTGGCAGGCTTGTAGAACCTTGTTTTAACGTTTTGATGACCTCTTTCTATCTGGCTCTGTGACACACACTGAAAAGCTTCCAGGCCCGGGCCGCGTTATCGTGACGTCATGACACGTGGTGTGACGTCATGACACGTGGTGTGACGTCATGACACGTGGTGCCAAAGCTTCCTTTTCTCTGCGAATAAGAAGAGAAGGGGGTAACCCAGGCCCGGGCCGCGTTATCGTGACGTCATGACACGTGGTGTGACGTCATGACACGTGGTGCCAGAACAGCTTCCTCCTCTCTGCGAATAAGAAGAGAAGGGGGTAACCCAGGCCCGGGCCGCGTTATCGTGACGTCATGACACGTGGTGTGACGTCATTACACGTGGTGTGACGACATGGACACGTGGTGCCAAAGCTTCCTCCTCTCTGCGAATAAGAAGAGAAGGGGGTAACCCAGGCTCGGGCCGCGTTATCGTGACGTCATGACACGTGGTGTGACGTCATGACACGTGGTGTGACGTCATGATACGTGGTGTGACGTCATGACACGTGGTGCCAAAGCTTCCTCCTCTCTGCGAATAAGAAGAGAAGGGGGGTAACCCAGGCCCGGGCCGCTACCCCGACACTGTAAAACAGCACTCCGTACATCTTAATACGGCCCAGGTCAGGAGGGAAGGAAGTGAAGATGAAGCTGGTGCCCCACACTGTCTGTGAGTACTCTAGAATAGCAGATAATATCTGGGGGAGAGATAGTGGAAGGAGTAAGTGAGACACATGACTAGTGCAGTGCGGCGTGAGGTGTCAGGTTGGGAGGGTTGCTGTGAGGAGGAGGAGGAACTAGTGTTGAGGGAGTCCTGGAAAGGGTTGTAGAGTAAGTCTCTGTCTCGCCCTTCGTGGGATAACGGCCTGAGACATTATTGTTCTAGTGGACCAAAATTAACGCAACATTATTGTAAGTCAGATTAATCTTAACCACCTTACCAAAATATAATCGTCTGTAACAAATGTGTTCACTACACTACAAAGTGTTAACTACAAATGGTTCACTAAAAACTACAAAGGGCTTCACAGCGTTTTAAAAAAAGTTTTACAGAATAAAGAAAATAACGTGGCAGCCACGGTTGTTTTTGAGAAGATAATTTTTTTAAAGGCGGGGAGAAGGGGGGCGGGAAAAAGGAACTCTATAATTTCAAACCCACCAGATTAACCTACCCGTGCGGGTCTCCCTAGTGTGCAATTAATTAATTAATTAATTTTAAATTTAAAATTTTTTAATTAAAATATTTTAATTAATTAAATATTAACAAAAATTTTAAAAAATAAGATCCATAAGCTTTTACTAATCGAAAATTAAGCCATTTTAAGGCTTAACAAATTTTAGAAGTGTAAAGTTTTTTTAAAAATTCTCCCCCCCAAAAAAAATAAACCCAATAATTGAATAAATTTGAATGTTTTTGTTGTAAAAAAACCCCTGTTGCCGGGGATGTTGCCCCCCCCCAGATTCTCCTGATTCCTTACTTGTAAAGTCCCCCCCCCAGGGAAAGTCCGGGCACCTGGGGTACACAATTTTAAGCATTAAAAAGGGGGACCAGTAGGGAGGTTGACGTCACACCCCTCACTGACGTCCAACCCCCCTGCACCTCCTCAGGAGGGTATAGTGGGGGCCCGGGGGGCACCTGGGTACACTAATTAATAGTCCATTTAAATTTTGACGTCACGTGGGGTGTGACGTCCCCACCCCTCACTGCGTCCACCCCCTGCCCCTCCTCAGGGGGGGTAAGGGCCGGGTCACCCCGGGAAAAAACTAATTAAAAAAGTCTTTAATTTTATGTGTGAAAAGGAAACAAGAAGATTAACTCACTGTTGGCGGCTATTATTTCCAACTCTACTAGGGTCGCAAAAAATTTAAAACAGTCGAAATTCGGGCTAGAATTTTGGTACGAAATTTGAAAGGATATTTTAAAATTATTATTTATTAACATTTTGTTAACAGTATTTGTTAATATAATTTGTTTAGTAAAAAAACTGAGTCCCCCCGTTGAAAAATTTTAAACCGATCAAATGTTCTAAATAGTATGGATTTTTATTAACGGCTATTTTGTTTCAAAAAGGGGGTTGGAAAAATTGGGAACCAAAGTAACACCAAACGTTTAACCCCGGCTGCACTATTCGTAATTAAGGAAAATCTTCCTAAATTTATTTCTTCAATTAAAAAATCACATTTTCATAAAAAAACCCCGTCCAACAACAAGACCGAATATTGGAAAGGGACCCCCAAGGCGCCCAACCCGCGCCCCCCCCCCCCCCCCCCCCCTAAATTTTGTTTTGAGTAGAAAGTATAAGGAAAAAACCCGCGCCCCCCCCCCCCCCCCCCCCCCCTCTAACAAGTATGTTAATTTTTTGAAATAGCAAAACCAGTAAAGCCCCACAACCCGCCTGGCCCCCCCCCCCCCCCCCCCCCCCGCCTTTTTTGGGGGCGCCCCCCGATAGCCCCCCCCCCCCCCCCCCCCCCCCCCCCCCCTAAAAAAATACCTGTAATATTGAGTAGCACACCATATAGCGAAAAAAACCCCCTCCCCCCCCCCCCCCCCCCCCCCCCCGTATTTGGGATTGCCCCCCCGCCCCCCCCCCCCCCCCCCCCTCTAACAAGTCCGTATTTGAGTTTGCACACCAGTAAAAAAGACCACAACCCGCTGCCCCCCCCCCCCCCCCCCCCCCCTAAAAAAGTACTTTTAAAAAACACACCAGATAGCGACCACAACCCGCTGCCCCCCCCCCCCCCGGGGGGGCCCCAAAACGACCCCCCTCCCCCCCCCGGGGGGCCCCCCCCCCCCCGCCGATTTTAGTGCCCCGGTGCCCCCCCCCCCTCCCCCCCCCCCCCCCCCCCTAAAAAAAGTACCTGAAATTGAGAGCACACCATATAGCGACCACAACCCCGTGCCCCCCCCCCCCCCCCCAAAAAAAGTACCTGTAATTTGAGTAGCCCCCACCAGTAAAAAGCAAACCCCAACCCCCCCCCCCCCCCCCCCCCCCCCCCCCCCCCTAACAAGACTTGAATATTTAGTAGCACACCGTAACACCCCCAAAACCCCCTCCCCCCCCCCCCCCCCCCCCCCCCCCAACCCAATACCTTTAAATTGGGAGCACACCCCTATAGCGACCAAAAACCCCCCCCGCCCCCCCCCCCCCCCCCCCAACAAGTACTTTAATTGGGGGACCCCTAAAAGGACCACAACCCGCTGCCCCCCCCCCCCCCTATACAAGTACCTGTAAGTATTGAGTAGCACACCAGTAGTAGCGACCACAACCGCTGCCCCCCCCCCCCCCCCCTCTAACAATACCTGTAATAATGAGTAGCACACCAGTAAAGCGACCACAACCCTCTGCCCCCCCCCCCTAACAAGTACCTGTAAAAGGAGTAGCAACCAGTATAGCGACCACAACCCTCTGCCCCCCCCCCCCTCCCCTAACAAGTACCTGGTAATATGGAGTGCACACCAGTATAGCGACCACAACCTGCAGCCCCCCTAATAAGTACCTTTAATATGAGTAGCACACCAAAAAGCGACCACCACCCGCTGCACCCCCCCCCCCTAAACAAGTACCTGAAATATTGGTAATCACACCAGTATAGCGACCAACAACCCCGCTGCCCCCCCCCCCCCCTAACAAGTACCGTAATATTTGAGTAGCACACCAGTATAGCGCCCACACCCCGCTGGCCCCCCCCCCCCCCCCCCTCTAACAAGTACCTGTAATCTTGAGTAGCACACCATATAGCGACCACAACCCTCTGCCCCCCCCCCCCTAACAAGGTAACCTGAAATATTGAGTAGCACACCAGAAATATCGACCACACCCCCTGCCCCCCCCCCCTCCTCTAACAAGTACCTGTAATAATTGAGTAGCACACCAGTATACGACCCCCAACCCGCTTGCCCCCCCCCCCCCCCCCCTAACAGTACCTGTAATATGGAGTAGCAACACCAGTATACCGACCACAACCCGCTGCCCCCCCCCCCCTAACAAGTACCTGTATTATTGAGTAGCACAACCAGTAAAGTGACCACAACCCGCTGGCCCCCCCCCCCCCCCCTACTAACAAGTACCCTTAATATTGAGTATCACACCAGAATTGCGACCACAAAACCCGCTGCCCCACCCCCCCCCCCCTAACACGTACCTGTAATATAGAGTAGCACACCATATAGCGACCACAACCCGCTGCCCCCCCCCCCCCCCCCTAACAAGTACCTGTAATATTGAGTAGCACACCAGTATAGTGACCACAACCCGCTGCCCCCCCCCCCCCCCCCACTAACAAGTACCTGTAATATTGAGTAGCACACTAGTATAGCGACCACAACCCGGTCCCCCCCCCCCCTAACAAGTACCTGTAATATTGAGTAGCACACCAGT